TTTTCTCCGAAGACACGTTGCTGCCTTTTCATGAGCACACAGATGAAAGTACGTTGTGGTAGTTGCCCCACTCTGACAGGGTTCAAGTATCAAGGCCCACCCTCTGGAGCAGGGTCCCAGCTGTTTTCCGGTGAGGAGCTGCTCATCTGAAGGCAGATTGCTCTGACCCACAGCAGAAGATGCTGACAATGTACTCCTGCCTGGAGGCAGAGAGCATGGAGCCCAGGAGGCTGGTCGCGTTGCAGCCTGGACCCTCCTACCCACAGGTGGGTGATAAGCCAGTGAGCCAAGCTAGCTCCACTGTGTGCCCCATAAGTATTTTCAAATACGTGTGTGTCCATGTGTGTGTTGGGATATGGGATGTTATGACTGAATTGTGTTTCCCTCCAGATGTATACATTGAAATTCTAACCGCCTGAGTTATTATTGTGTTTGGAGATGAAGCCTTTAAAAAGGGTAATTAAGATTAAATGAGGCCATAAAGGTTGGGACCACAGCAATAGGTCTGGTGTCCTTATGAGAAGAAAAGGAGACACCAAGGTCATGTACACACAGAGAAGAAAGTCCATGTGAGGACAAATCAAGAAGTTAGTTGTTTGTCAGCCAGGGAAAGAGGCTTCAGGAGAAACCAAATTTGCCAGCCCCTTGATCTTGGACCTCTAGCCTTATGAACTCTGCAAAAATAAATTTCTGTTGTTTAAGCCACCCAGTTTTTGTATTTTGCTGTTACACCCCAGGTGACTAATATGTGGGGTAGGAGTGTCCCTTCTCCCTGTTTGCTGTATAAGCTCCCAGGGTGGCTGTTACCTCCTGGGAAGCACAGCAGATGGCAGTGGTGTCCTGTGAGTCTGTACAGCCAGCCAGCCTGTCACCCTGTGGCTCCAGCTCAGATAATGAAAGGGTCGGGGATGTGAACTTCAAGGGCCAGGGTTTTTCGTAGGAAAAATCAACAACTTTGCATTAAAATGTCCATATAAGTATTAATCGAACCGGGGTGTAGAAAGCAAATGAGATACCATTTAAAAGGAGAAATAAGGAACACAACTTTGAAGCATTCAGCGTGCCTGCCGTCTTCCTCCCTGCAGTTCCATGACGATTTGCTGTTGTTTTATGGCGTCTAAGTGCAACCCTCTCCATAGCTCCCAGAGGTGTCCGCCTCTGGGGCTCCCTGGCTACACGCCCTGCAGAGGCCTGCTGAGGCAAAACTGAACACATGGCTGGTCAGCTTCGTACTGACACCAGGAATACTTTAATCTCCCTGTTGCCATAATTGGGCTATTTTCTCAGCACAGTTCCGGAGCCCAAACTGCCCTCTGTTCCTTAGGAGGCTCTTAGGGATGGAAACTTAACTAATTTGTCAGGCAGGTAGCTATCACCTCCTCCTTCACGACACTCCTATCCAGATGTTTCATCGCAAACTCACAACAGTTAAGAGTAGACAGAGATTCATCCCTCCCCTGTTTATACAGACTTTGACCATATATCCGGGCTTCCTTTCTGAGCGCATGTGTACATGTGCCCAAGACTTTCACCCAGACAGAACACTTTTAAAGGATCACAATGATTTCCTTTGTGACATAATTGCCAAAAATTAGACAAAAACTTCAAGCCTTCTTTTCCCTTGAGCATTGGAAATCATGTGTTCTAGACAGTGCCTGGAGATGAAATACAGACAAATGGCTACGACTATGATAATACATGGGAAATGCATTGCACTCAACACTCAAAATTGTCTGTGTGTGAATGACCACAAGTAAATGCACCCCAGTGGACAGAGAACCGGCCCAAACAAGTATCTCCTGCTCAGTCCTGTGAAACTCTAAGGTGAGTCTCAATTTACTTGGATATGAACATAAACAGGTAACTCATGTCTTGCCCACTGAAAAAAATTATAAACTATAATCATATCTTGCCTATGAGAAGTTGGATTAATAAAGGCAGGTAAGGTATTATGTTTGAGACACATATAAAGACATAGACATTGCTTTAGAGAGTGTTTTGGAAAATCATTTGTTAGGTGCTTTAAAGATAAACCTGATTTTCCAAAAGATATCTGGCTTTGGCCAAAACTTGATAAGGCAGAATTCCTTAAAATGAGTTTTCTGGAATTCTATTCTTTGGAATATTAATATTTCTTATGAAAAAAGCATTTTGTGTTCACATATTTTGGATAGTACTATATATTTAATTTTTTAAAAATTGATGGCTTAACATCTACAAAATGACCAGCTGATTCTAAGTAAGCCCTAGCTCACCAACACCATCTGGCGACTTTAGATAACCCCAAACTATATCCTCCGATAGTCACAGTGAACACGAATTTCACAAGGTGCCACTTTCCAACTTAGCTAGCTGATACTGAACCTGTGCAACCAGCTTGCCCATTTCTTTAGATGTAAAGAAACCACAATAAGGTGCTTGCTTGCCTACAGGTTTGTGCTCTCTCTCTCTCTGCCTTGCGACCTACCCTGGTGCTATTTGTGTGCACAGGGAACTATGAGTATAATAAACCTGGGAAAGTATTGGTGCTTTTTGTCTTCTATTTTCATTTGGCCTCACTACACCTCATCCACTATTACATTGTTAAAACAAAGTCGTGGATTAAGAAAAATTTAATATACTTCTTTATTGCCGTAGTCACAAAGATATTAATATGTAAATATGCACTTTAAATTTTCAATGGCCAACTTATTGGGCTATGAGATCTTTTTTGAGCAGCACATCTTACAGAACAAGCATTTTGGAATTCCCCTCTGGGAGCTACAATTCTAGGTAGATACTGATGATCTGTGTAGGAGACTTGGTGTGTCAGTACTTTCTGAAGATAAAAATGCACCAGCATCATTGTGAAATACAATCAATCATTATAGTCCAAGGAACTCAACTCTGACATGACATTTAACCTATAAATTTTCTTTTCATCAAAGATTTGGCACAAAAACACTGAATAGTAACATCTGAATGCACTTACAAAGTTCATGGAGTCTGTACAAAGTTCATGGAGTCCATAAATCTATTACCCTTCCTAATTTGAATACATCCTTTGTGCATAAGACAAGTGCTTACTAGATGTCTTCTCTTTTATATTCATCAGGTACCTTAACCTTAACCTGTTCAAGTTGAACCAATTTTCACATTCCCATTCTATTTTCCTCAGCTGACATTTTTATATAGCCATCCACTTATGCCAGGAATCCAGGAACCTATCAGTCACTTCATTGTCCCTCACACAGCACCATCCACTGTCCATTAACCGCTTTGTTTCAGCATGTCTCATGTGATATCTACCCTCTTCACCTGCAGTACAGGTCCTAGTCCACACCCTCGACATCTCAGATCTCAGCCATCGTTGCAGAGTCTGGCTAGTCTCCCTTTTCCTGATTCTCCCCATTGCTCTAGTAGTCTTTCCTTCATATTGACACCACTGTGACTTTTCTAAAGTCCATTTTTATTATATTATTCTGTTCTTATAAACCACGTGCCAATCGCTTCACCATCATGCTATGTAAAAATAAAGTCCAAGTGCCTTACTTTGTCACACCATTTTCCTGCCATCTCGTCTATGCCCTCTTTTCTAATCATCTCTGGATGCCCATTTACAGCACAGGATAGGACCCAGTTATATTAATCCTGCTTCTCTGCTCCCAACATGACCAGCGGTGCTATGCCTTGGCACTTTCCCACTTTTTACCAGGAACCACCTTACCCCCACATCGACACCCTAATCATCTTTCCTCCACTCATCTTTCAAGACCAAGCTCAACAATATCCGTGCCTATGAAGTATTTCCTGGCCCCTTTCCTGTCTTCCCCCACAATATATTATACTTCTTTGTCCACATGTTTGTTTTTTCCAGCATTCCTAGAGGTAAAAGATTGTGTGTTACCAATCTTAGCATCTCCAAAGCCTGACAGAGAACTTGATCCAGTGAAAAGCATTTTACAAATGCTTTTTCAGCAGGAGGACCATCATTTCCTTTCACATACAAAATAATACAAACTATGACTGTGTGTTTCTGTGTTTATGTCACATATTAGTATGACTGAAAAGCGCCTGCTCTAAATTAGCCACCCGATACTGCTTCTTCCTGTCTAATATGATTGGAAAGCAAAGAAGAAACACACATTTCTCTTCAGGTTTTTTCCTCAAATCATCCTGTAACAGAGCAGTGAATTTCATCATTTTTGCCTCATCTCGAAACTCCAGTCATTATTATTTTTGGAAACCAAAAAGAATGATTCCCATTTTTGATTTTTCCTCAGAGTAAATGTAGCTGCCTGGGCACATATCCATGATGGTACTCAGACAGGCTGGAAGTACTTTTTACAGTCCTCATATTTCAGGTCCTTAGGAGGCAAAGAACGAGTGAAACCTTTTACCTGCCATTTTTACATTTTTAGAGAAGTAGAGGATGGCAGAACTGCTCAGAGGCTTGCAGGAGGGGAACATCGTCTCAACTCTGGATCATGCAAAAGGACTCAATGCCGAGACTCAGACAGAGAGTTCTTGCCATTTGTATCTAAGTGTAGGGCCAAAGAGGAAATGTAAAAATTTGATTTCCCGGAGACAAATTTCTTAAATGAATCTGAAGCCAGTTCTTGTCAGAGTTTTAAGAGCTATTGCAAATTGCTAATTGTTAAGGTTTGTAATCCTGGGTCAACCTGATTAGTTATTAGTTATCAGTACCTAATAAATGGTTCATACAAAGAGAATGGTCAAGTTAACCACATTTAAAAATCACTTCATCTCCAGTTTCCTGTCTATAGTCCCTATTAGAATTATTATAAAAGAAATAGATTTTAAAAGTACCTTCCAAGAAAAAAACGTGTTTTCAAAATAAATCCTTCCTTGATTTTAAAATGTCCTGCATATTTTTTATGGAAACACTTTATCCCTGTGGATACAAAAAGCTATTGCCCTTAAAGCTTAAGGCTAGGGAGGAGGTAGTAAAGACGCCGCTTTGAACTTGAAAAAAAACAGAATAGAGCTTTAATACTTACAGCTGTCCTCTTCTTCAGTTATACATTTCACAACATAACAGGCGTAGATGAACCCTGCCAGCTGAAACAAAACAGAGATGCTTTAGACATGAGGCAAAGGCAACAGAGCTGGATCTCGCTGGGGAAGGACTTTTCAGAGGCCGGCAGTTCACGACTAGATTTAGAGTTCCAAAACGGTTCATCAGACTGGGTCTCGCTCCAGCGTGGGTCCTTGATTCAAGTGATGTTTGTTTGCCTTATAAGTAAATATTGTCCTCTGACCTGCAATTATGCGCAAGATTTGTTAATTGCCAGGCAATCTAACGTAAGTTATTGTAAGTGCAGGAAGAGAGAAAAAGAATTATGGTCTTTCATTAATACATTACCATTTGCATTTGTGCCAATCAACTTCTGATTTACTGACATTAGTCACTGACTATCATAAAAAAGTTTTCAGGGAAAAATATCAAGGAGATTCCATGGTATATTGCATGAACACTTTATTAGTAAAATGTTATTTAGACCTGAAGCAGCAGCCAGGCATACCAAGTATAATTAGGAAGATATTTTACAGAGAAACCATGAGGTGGATGGCTGGAGGTAATGGGTATTACCAAGCACTGGATTTAGGATTGCAAACATCATGTCGCCCTTTCTGAAACATGCTACACAAAGGTCCCTATGGTTGGGCAAGTCTTCACTTCTTATTGCCCATAAAGAAACACACCAAAGTCCTTTGACATCTATCATCTATTTCCTTAGATTAAATGGTTTTGTATCTACTCATACCAGCATAATATTTATTTAGTCAAATTATGAACACTGGTGGACAAAAGCAAACTAAAAAGTTTCCTGATAAGTGGAAAAACTATTACTCAAAATAATCCAGTTTGGGGGAATCTTTAAAAGTGTGTCCTCAGAACAGTGATGGAGATTAATCACAAGGCACGGATCCGGCTGGGGACTGACCCTCCACACAGCATCTGATGCAGGGAAGGGACTGTGAGGAAAGGCTGCTGTCTTCCATCTGGAAGCTAAAAACCAGGGATGCTGTGATAAGCCTAATGAAGTTTCTTTGTTAGCTGACAGCGGTCCTTGTGGAAGACATGAGTGGAACATTTTAAGTCAGAGGGGAAACTGATAGCTATTTAACGAGCACAGACCATTTGGAGACAAAGGGGGGCCCGGTTAAAAAAACTTCAGAAAATCTCTAATTTGGGTTTGAGGGAGGAAGCATGTTCTCTTCTAAGGAGAGTGGGCAGGGGATGAAGCAGTGGCTATCCAGAAACACTGACCCTGTCGGGGGAGGAATGGGTGGGAGAGAAGGCCTGTACCGCATATTCTTCAAGGGCTTTTGGTTCCAGATCCTGGATGAGAGGGAACGTGTACCCCTGCCCTCCAACCCCCAAATGTGGTATGTGAACTAGCTACACACAATAGACGGTTAAATAAGGATACCACTGATGTTACATTAGCAGAGTTAGTTTTCTTTGTAAAAAATATCTTTAAAAGTAATCAAATCATCATTTTTCTCTTTGAATTATATGTTGCTATTGGCAATCAAATAGTGATAGTAAGAGCTATTTCCTTATATAATAGAATTATCAAAATTATTGTTTTATTGGACTTACTTTTTGAGTACAGGATACTATTAAAAAACCAGTGTCTCCCATTTGGTTTTAAGAAAGATTTTGATTTGGCTAAACAAAATCACGTGGTAGTTTGATCATTTTATGGGTACAGTGATCCCTCACCTATCATGGGAGTCACGTTCCAGAGACACCTGTGATGGTGATAATCCGCAAAGTAGCAGCATTATATTTATTTCATTTTATATATATATATATATATATATATATATATATATATATATACACACACACACACATATATATATATATATATATATATATATATATATATATATATATAGGCTTTATAAACCATTCCCACACTCCTATAAATCTTTCCCACCCTCTTATTAACCTTTCCCACACTCTTATAAACACTTCCTATGCTCTTAAACACTTTCTACGCTCTTAAACCTACGTGATTTTAACAACATATAAAATTCTATGTGGGTACTCACCAGTGAGTATACAGTCAGTCGTCCCTCGCTACATTGCAGTTCACTTATTGCAGCTTCACTGTATCTCGGGTTTTTTAAAAGACCTGCAATAAGTGAACCTCAATATAGCGAGGGACGACTGTACTAAAAAACCCCAAATTATACTAACTCTTTGTCTTTCATCCACCAGGACCCATAAAAATGCTCTAATCCTTGAGTGACCCAGTCCCATGGACACTCTGTCACTGGTACTTGGATATGACTGTGACCAGGTAAAGAGGAAAAAAAAAAAAAAAGAGGAAATGGGTCTCACTGCAAGCTCTGGATATATCTGGAGTTTCTCTCCTTCTTCCACATGAAGTTCTTACTATCCATAGCTAAATGCTACAAATTTATCAATTATTGATCTATTGTTTTTAATTTTAAATACTTGTTACTTGAATTATCCATAAACAATATATTTTTAAATAAAATCACAAACTTTTATTTTGATTGTTACTCATCATTTCATTTTTGGGGGGATAAAAATGTAGGTAAACACCACTGATAAATTCTGAGATTCAGGGCCAATAAGCTTACATTTTTCATTAAGGTGCCACCAGATCCCAGATTATCACCTGTACTGCTCTCCCAGGATGCAGAGAAGGCACTGTATTCTGCTTACCAGTGATCTTTTACTTGTGTTGGGTTGCATTCCTTACCTATCAGGGGAGGTCCTTTGATACAAAAGTAAATCATGCTGCATTTCATTACAAAAACATGCTGATTAAGAGAACTGTAGCTTTTAAATTGGTCACCTCTAAATACAAATGAAAATTTGTTTCCCCTAATTAATCGAGATTCATAAACTCTATTAGTTCTAATTTTCTTATACCTTATACATTTCTAATTTAATTTTGAATCCTACAGCAATTTCTAAAACTTGCCCTCAGAAAAGGGGTTTAAAATAACCTCTAACAACTCCGACTGTCACCTGTAATGTTCAACTCTGCTAATTTCCACTTGGGCTGCACAGATGAACTAACTAAGCCAGGGTTTCTCAACCTCAGCATCATGGGCATCTTGGCTTGAGCAACCTTTTTTGTGAGGTCTGTTGTGCATTATAGGATAGTTGACTAGCAACATCCTACCATCAAGACAGTTGACAATTGGGACAATCAAAAATGTCAGCAGACAGTGTCATATGTTCCTTAAGGGGACAAAATTGCCCCTGGTTAGATACAATCCTATCCTAAAGGAATTTGCAATCTGGTAGTAAGGATACAACTGTAATTGTAATTTGAAGTAAATTAAGATACATGTCAGAAGGAAGGAAGGAAATTGAATATCTACTAAGTGACAAACAAAAACAAACTGCATGTTTATGAAGTGATTACTGAAAAATTTTTTTTCATCAAATACAAATCTTTCCTAATGTGATGATTAGCTCCCTTTCTGGCCTTATTTTCCACCCCTGCTAGTCTCAAAGTTAGCACCAGTTAGTAAGTTGATGGTGGTTTGCTGAAATATATCAGGTGGCTTTCTTCCTCTGTTTTTTAACCCATTAACCCATTCTGCCAACCAAGCACGTGAATGTCCCACACATCCTCCCTTCTCTCCCTGGTCAGCCTTGCACTTTTAGGACTGAATTAAAGCATTGTCTCCCCCAGGAGCTGACAATTCATTATCAGGGTACGTGTGCGTTGGCAGTTTGGAGATACTCTTCTAGATACGGAAGAGCGTTGAGTGGAATAAATGAGGGAAAAGGAGAAGATATAGTCCAAGCAGAACTCAGAAAAGCTCTCGGAAGATGTGAATCATATTCAGGGAGGAGCAAATGACCCCAGTTCCAAAGAGTGTGGGCCATGTGAAGGGGGTGGCGATGCCCAAAGCAGCAAACAGTGACCGTGCGGTCATAGTAAATCTGAGTACGTGGAATTCAAATATAATTATTTCTATTTTAAAAAGATGGCCAGAATAATAATGACAAGTACCAGTGATATACTAGACAAACATACAATTATCCTCTTGTAAAAACCCCAAACATCCCAGTTGTTTTAGTCTTTGGAATTCAAAGCTGAGCTAAGTCTAAATCTGTTTATGCTCATTCATCTTTTCACCTTGATGAGTCTTAATACGATTTGTTCACTTCTAATCCACCTTACAGGGAATTACATATTATCTCGATAGTATTATTGGCTGAGAGAAAATATTTTCTCACTATAAATAAATCAGATTAAACTTTGTTTTTTACCTGCAAACCAAATTATGATGGTACACCCCAGAAATTCACTTAGAAGCTAATAGATAAGAGGAAATCAATGCCTTTTGGTATTTTTAAAAATTTAATTGTAGAAATTGAAAGTGTAACAACCTTAGTGTTTAAAATACTGTCATTTGGACTTCTGTTTCCAAGAAGTTGGAATAGACTTACTTTTCTGTAACTACCCTACTATGTACAACTAAAACTTCTGGGCATTGTATATGAAATAAACATAGGATGAATCTCAAACGTAGAATGAAGCTAGGGTGGCTGGGAATCTTGGGATGCAAGGAAGGACATGGGAATGAGTATTCAGTATTTTTCTTTTGTCTCATATGTACCACCAGGCTTGGAGTAAAGAAGCCCACAACCCAGAAATGACAATGGACACAGACAAGAAATGCTTTCTCTCTCCAGCCACAGAACCAGGACAAGGATAGCCTAACAAGACAAAAAAACATTTAGGACAATAACAGCTCTTATTCAGTGAACACCTCAGGAAAAAAAGTGTAACCCCACTCTCCAGCCATACCAGCTAACGCTGGGAGCCAACGCTTCCCTCCTGGCTAGGCCGTGGTGTCTGAGAAGTCAGGTCGGGAGCCTGGGCTTTCCTTCCTGCCAGGAGGGAGAAGACCCTCCTCCCTCATGGCAGGAGAGACCACTTTGGGAACTGTGACATCTAACCTCACTCAGTACTAGGGACACACCCTTCCCCTCCCACCTGGGGAGGTGTCAGAGAAGATCCAGTGGAGAATTAGAACATTCGCCAATG